TGTGGCGTGTGTGACATTAACATATGCTGTTGTTCTCTTTCTCTGTCTATTGTGATTTTAATAAATAATTACTCTGTATTTTGTCAAAACAATTTTTACTTAATGTAAAAAAAGACCAAACTGGTATTTTTTTTATATATCCTGTTTTTTATATCAAATAAGTAATAAAGTTTAGATCACCTTTTTGGAAGACATAAATCGGTCCTAAAAACAAATAATATCACAATAAGTTCTGTTAATTTTTATAAACGTACCGTATGTAAAAATAAATCGTTTTTTTTTTCAAATAATAAAAAAAGAAACCATCTTTTTTACAGTTGGTTAAAAAATTAACATTACGGGTAAATTTGGGTAATTTTCGAATCAGTTTCGGACTTTTCTTGGGTGACTAGCGGCAACACTGCACAACCGCCGTTTGTTTGATGTCTACGTTTGAACCGCGTAAATTTTTGTTGATTCCCCTTGTTTCAAATCATTATATAACAAATTAACATTTAAATTTGGCGAAATATGTACCTATCATAGTGTTAATCAACTTCGTTTTTTATTTATATAGATATAAAGATATTAACAATGTACAAGGTGGTAGAGTTTGATGATGGCGGCGTAGGCGTTATTCGACAACAATAGTCGACTCCTAGAAAAAATAGTTGTGTTTGGCCATCAAACAAGAGGATAAATTAAAGTTTGATCGATGGCACAGATCCTGATTCTACCTGGAATATTTATAGCATAAGACGTATGTTTTATGAAACCGGTAAGTCTTTGTATAATACTTGACCTGGTGATTATCAAAAGTGATTTTTTTATTTAAGCCTGTCCTAGCTTGAGAATCTTATAAAACCTATTTATATTGTATATTTTTTAAGACAAATAAGAGGGTAAGCTGTTAGTGCATCACTAAATACTCCATAATTTAGTGCAGATTTTCCACAATTTATTTATACAGACATGCAGCAGGTACAGTAAGCATTTCAATAACTAGTGAAATAGGTTGTGGACTATCTACTTGTGTGTTAATATGGTTATGGTTGTGAGACTACCAACATGCTGTGTATGCAAGCTATAAAATAATATTTAATTGCATGGCTAAATAATATAAGCATACACAACCTCGCTTTGTGGAATTAATCACATTGCAATAATTCCTATCCAATTTTTAGATGTAAGCAGTACTACTGGCGATACTGACGTTTCAAAAACACTATCTTATATGTACTTACTATTACTTTAATATTAATTCAGTCTTTTTTGTTTTACACTTGGCTGCACCTAAGATTTGTTATTTACAAATATGCTATATTAAATTCTTATTAAATGCATATAAATGACATTATTGTAATTATATTTCAGTATCATTGGATTTAACATTGACACTTATTTTAAGGACAATTTGCTTAACTCGCAGTGTCTAGGTAAGAAATACACAAGTATTGTACATTATTACTTTTTAACAGATGTAAAAAATATAATGTTAATATTGCTATGCTCTTTTATGCATAAATATAGCTATGAATAAGTTTAATAATCCCTAAGTGATATGAAATACATTTTCAGATGTAATTGCCCGCCATCTAGCTAACATTGAATTTGCTATTAAAGAATTGCAATCAAATCAAAATGAGATCTTAACAAGGTTAAGGAATCCATCTTCAACTCTATCACCTGCTATGTTGCCTTATGGTATTAAAATATCATGTGATGATTAACAATCTTTACAAGATTCAGAAAATTGGATTTCAAATGATAATTATAAACTGTTGGCAAGTATTCATATGTTTTTTTTATTATTATTTTAATAATAACATTAGTTGGTACTTGTAGTATGTGATATGCAACTCACCTGTTGGAAATTATCACAGATGCTGTACGTCATCATAAGATTGCAGAGTTCGCAACTGATGATGTAATTCAGAATATAATAAGTGGTTGGTTCAGATTTACTAAAGATCGCCATGGAGGAAGAGAAAAGAGAAGAACTACATGTGCCTTCAAACTGACACAAAATTTTTTAGTCAAGAATATGAGGATCATCACATATCTAAAACTGAATTACAGAACTTGATTTAGGTTTAGTGACGCAAGTCCCATTAGACTTTATGCGTTTAGTTTGTTTAGGCGTTATGAAAAAAATGATACTAAGTTGGATATGTAATGGACCAAAAAAATGTAAATTAAATGCTTCTAAAATATCCAAAGTATCAGAATGGTTAAAAATTATACGTACATTATCCCACCGAATTTTCGAGACAGCCTAGGTCTTTAAGTTTATTCAAGTATTGGAAAGCAACGGAATTTAGAGCTTTTCTTTTATATTTGGGTCCCATTGTTTTAAAAAATATATTATCGAGTAGTTTGTATAAACATTTTTTGATGTTTCATTGTGCAATATACAGATTGTGTTGTAATAATATTGATCAAAATAATGTATGATGTATATAACTTTGGAGAACTAGATTCCTTTTCAACATTTCCTTTTGAAAACTTCATGTGTAAAATAAAGAGGTTACTTCATTCGCATAATATGCCATTAGAGAAAATTGCTAAATGGCTGGGTGAAAAAGCAGCTGACAAGAAATTTGATAATAATGTGAATATTAGTAAGAAAAATAATAAGGCTATAATTCGTGATGGACGGATAAAAAGATTTTTTGTATTTAACTGTGCTGTAAGTACTTGTTTAAGAGATTCTTGTTTTGTTACTTTCAATGGAGATATTATTGTGGTTAAATCTATTGAAGTAGAAGCAAAATCTGATGCTTATACTTTACACTATAATAGTTTTTTAAACAAAAAGATTTTTACAAAAAATCCATTGAAAGTAGCAAATTGAGAATATACATGGTCAGTGGTGAAAAAAATGTTATTGTCAATTCAAACGATTTAAGCAAGAAATGTTTATTGTTGCCTAATTTTGATAGTAATGACCATTCATTTATCTGTGTACCTTATGTGAGTATGAATTTGCACTATTAAGTGTTCGAGATTTACTCAATGAGAAATGCTAGTTTCAATTTTAAGAGTGTGGGGAGTGAGTCAATTCCATACAATTTGTGGTGCTCTTACACAGCTATAATATGTTTTAAAAACCTACTGATTGTAATTTTTTCAAGTTTTGTTTTTTTTTGTATCACGCCAATTCATGGTTTTTCAGCCAAATAAAATATGGTTAAATTAACAATTGTATTTTATTTTTACAGCCTCACCAAGATGCCCACCAAGACTACGAGACGTACTGCAGTGTTCCTCATAAAAGGCAAGGACACTGGGCCAAACTGAGGATTTACTCGTTATAGCGCCAACATTGTTTTACAAAGTAAGACCTTCAGACACATTATTGTGGGATTTACAAACTGACTGAATAGTAGGCATGTCATCGGGTTCATGAGTATTTACCAACATTGGTAAAAACATTTGATAAATACATTTTTTAATTAAATGTTTTATTACGATATTTTGGTTGGCCATTTGATACTTTTTAATAGTGCTGATATTCATATGTTTTCATGAATTCGATGATATACTGTGCAGTCAGTTTGTAAGCCCTACAAAGATGGTGTATGTAGGCCTTACTTTGCAAAATATGTTGGCCCTATTATGAGTAAATCTTAGTTGGCCCTGTGTCCTTGGCCCTTTATGAGGAGCACTGCAGTTGGCCTTATATAGTAAAAGTTAAGTTAGGCCTACGATTAAATACCACAGTTGCCCTACCATGAACGGTCAGCCCAACGTTATAGAATGTTTGTTGGCCCTATGTGAGAAAATTGTGGGAAAATTCGCAGTTGGCTTTACGTTGTAAAAGGTGACTAGGACCAACGAAGGAAAAGCTTCAGTTGGCCCTTTCTCCAATTGTAACGGTGGGCCACGGTACTTTAGCTTTGTGGGCAGCAGTGCAATCAGGGGTGCCATTACCCACAGTTGACCAACCGAACAGCAAACAAAGGCCCAACGAATTGCCGTACCAAAAATGCTACTAGGGGTGTTATTACAAAAAAATTGTTAGTGTCATGGTGCATGTAAAACATGAATCAGGTTAGTTAAAAGAATGAATCAGTTGTGTGAGCGTCATAGTTCAATATACACGCGTATAGTTATTATAATAAACTTTATAATGTACCAGAACTTGTTATGTGCTGTGATGTGTTGTGTTGCGCGTTAAACAAACACATACTTTATAGTGTGATATGTTAACGTCACGTTTAAAAGTTCTTATTTGACATTTATTACTGTTATGCGTAAGTGATATGTGTAGGAGCGTTTTATAGGGCGTTCACGAACAATTTGCGTTAAAATATTCGTATCATGATCGTAAATGTTCGTAATCGTAAATGGCGTAAACGTAACTTAACTTGGAAGCACAAACCACATTCGTATCGCTATCGTTACGTGTCGTCAACTATACTTGAGATGTTTCTTATAAAGTTGCAAGCACGAAGTTTCTTTTTGACGTACGGTATCGCCACTTACGAAGGCATCAAATTCTATTACTCACAGTTTGCGCCTGAACATCTTTTATATGTATATTTTGAAGTTATATTAATTGCTATTAGATATGTTTAGGAGTTATACAATAAGTCTGGAATCTAAAAAAAGCAGATAAAGATGTGGATATCAACAGCAAATTTTATTTTTCACCATGTTAGAATTTATTTAATGATGATGAGAAATGAAAAATATGTGTTACTTTATTTTTTCATTAGAATTTTTCACTTAATATTTCTTAAATGACACCACATCTAGATAGAATAGGTAGTTATTGTTTACTCCTGTCTACCGCACGGAATTAAGACATTATTTTTTATTAAATGGACTGTTCTTATATATTTTAACAGCTTTAAATATATATATACATTTATAATGTGAATGACGACAGCCAACAATGTATCAAAAATAATATTAAATATGGATACCTATGTATCTAGTCTACCAATTAATCTCACAATAACGTCGCGCTGAAGGTCTCGGCATAACTATTTTATTTATTTAACGTTATCATCATAGCAATCCACATTGATAACTTCTAGATATCGCAGACGTTAGGTCAGTCTTTGTCACACGTTTTTAAACGGTACAACAAAATGCAATTTGTGTAATTTTTCAATAAGTATAAATATTTATATACCTACATAAACTTAAATGTAACGTTGTGAGTGAATATGTTGTCATTAAAGTGGTCAAATAAATGGTTGGTGTTGTGGTCCCTATGGGCGGCTCGCCTGGTGCGCCAGCCGACGCCGGCGGTGCGCGTGAGCGGCGGCTGGCTGCGGGGCACGGTCGCACCCGCCGGCACGCACGTGCAGTATCTGGGGGTGCCGTACGCTACTGTACCGAACAGGTTCCAGGTGGGTACACTAACAATAGATAAAGTTATGGATTTTTTTCTCCTGACTCATATAAGCATAGGGTTTCAATAATAATAACCATGAATGATAGCTCGCTTCAAAGAACAATATGCCTTCAGGCACCCTATTCTGTTCCAAATGATTGGGTAAGTGATATAATTCTGTCGATGCTGGTGACTGCGACTGACAATTATTTGATGTGCCGTTAGGCTGTACGACTATTTCAAATGTTTTATTTGAAATATTAGTCCTTCTATTTAAGTCTTATTCTACACCTGATCATCAAAGCAACTTGATGGTCAGCTTGTTCTTGTCTTGTCTTGTTCTTGTCAGAGATTTTAATGCGTGACGTATGTGAAATTCTGCCAACAGATATTCTGCTAGCTTTTCAATTTGTAGCTATCCAACGTATATAATTTCGTCTACTCACTATTTTTTAGGCAATTTTTTATTTAACTCTAATACTTCGAATTTTAGATGAAATTGTTTCCTACCATTTTTCATTTCAAGAATTATTTTAATTTTTACTCATTCATAATTATCGACAGTTCAGTACATTTTTCGCAAACATAATTAACGCCTCTCGGTTAAGTATTAAAGTATCTCGTTAATAGTCACCCATATATTAGTTTGTCATCCGATGAATAATTCTACGCTAAAATATTTTTTTTTTTATGGATAATAGTTTTTCAATGAAAAACTCAAAAACAGGTTTGTTGTTTTCAAAGGCGTTGTTCGAAATTTTCGAGTTAAAATTGGTCGACTACCAAAACCATACCAATTTTTAAAGCGACATTACCGATACAAATTTGACATTCATTAGCAATTAAAAGCGTCATTAATTGACGTTTATGCAACCGACTTTATTACTCATAAATTAGTAATTTTGCAAAATTGAAATCATAACCTACTTTGTTTTATAAAAATCGGAAAAAAATAAGATTACAAACATAACAAAAATCAAAATCCCTTTATAAAAGTACAGTAGCGCCATCTAATGATCAGTAGCGACAGCTAAATGTAATTAAATTATCTTATTGAAATGAAAGCAAAATTTAAAAAGAATGCTACTTTGTAGATTAAGTAAATCTTAACCTACACATAAAATTACGTCCATATTTATCAATCGCCTTAATGCATATAGTCCTAAAGGTACTAAACTATTATTTGTGACCACATATCTATTATATTATTACTTTATTGTAGTAGACAACAGATGAATAAAGATTAAATATTTCAAAGCTGACACCATCATTACTGCTTTGCCATGTTGTAAATCGACTTGGAATAAAAATAGATAATTAATTTTTCTATATTTCAAAGAACCTACTCCAGCAACAAATAAGCCGTTACCAATAAAATGGCCAGTAATAAATAGTAATGACCACGTGCCATGTGAACCGAGATCTTAGCACGATAGCTTTGTGGCACAGTTCATCTCTATTCTTTTGGAGGGTCATCTACTCGAAATAACGACGAAAATCATGATTGTTACAAAAATCAAATACACATTCATTGAATATCAAAAATATTATAAAGGAATGACTTGTTGTTATTTTTATTTATTACATGTCGTTGCATAAATTTACATGTTACCCTTACAGGCTGTCGCAATTTTTGGTAGCTATAAATAATAAAATACCAACAAAAGAATATTGTTTATAAACGAGAAACATTTTATAGGATAAAACAAAATTATATTATGTTGATTAAAACTGTTTTCGTTAAAATTGTCTTAGTTTTATTTCATGAAATTTCTAAATAATTAAAATTTAAAATAAAAAAGGCCCTTTAAAATGTAAATATTGCAATATAAAGATATATCTTTTCAGGCCCCCGGTCCTGAAATGCCGTGGAAAGGGATTTTCGAAGCTGTCAATGAAAACATAAGATGCGAACAAGTATTGTATGATGGTTCAAGTATAACAATGGGTCGGACTGACTGCTTACATCTAAACATCTACACGCCACTCAATACATCACCTAATGACTCATTGCCCGTCATGGTATTTATCCACGGAGGAGGCTTTCATTCAGGGTCATCATCCCAGGCTTTATTAGGTCCCGAATACTTGATAATCAAAGGTGTTATTTTAGTCGTCGTGAACTACAGACTTAATGTTGAAGGTTTTCTCTGTTTGGGAATCAAGGAAGCTCCAGGGAATGCAGGACTTAAGGATCAAGTAGCGGCTTTGAAATGGGTCCAAAGGAATATTAAAGTGTTTGGCGGTGATGTGGACAACGTCACTATTTTTGGTGAGAGCGCTGGCTCCGTTGCAGTTTCAACTCACATCTTATCTAAAATGTCTAGAGGACTATTCCATAAAGCTATAATGCAAAGCGGATCTTCTCTCGGAGGCTGTTCTCTACAGTATGATCCAGTTGACATAGCTAGCCGTAAAGCGAAGCTGCTAGGATTAGATTCAATGGACCCACAAGAACTTTATAATTTTTTGAAAAGACAATCTGAAACGGATCTCATTACCAAAGCGATACCAAGAGAAGAAGGCAATCTAATTATATCTGATCTCATATTTTTGCCTTGTGTAGAGAGAGAATTCGATGGTGTAGAATCATTTTTAACTGAAACCCCGTATGAGATATTTTCCAGAGGCGATTTCAACCAAGTGCCCTTGATAATTGGCACAAACTCTGAAGAGGGACTGTTTTTTGTAAATATAGAAGAAGATCATTTTATACCTCAAGTCAAACTTGATGTAGCACTGCCTAAAAACTTAGCTTTTCCTTCAATCAAGGAGCGCAAGGAAGTGGCCAATGAAGTACATAAAGTTTTCTTTGGAGATGAAAATATATCGTTACAGAATTTATATAATTAATCAAAATTCATTGTAGAATCATTTATGGAGTACCCTGTACTGGAGGAAACCAATATTATAGCTCGAAACAGTGATAAACCAGTTTTTAGTTACATATTTAACTATGATGGCTGGAGGAATATTGTGAAGCGTATGAATCCTAGAAAAGAATTCATAAATGTGACTGGAGCCACGCATGCTGATGATTTATTCTATTTGTTCTCTCAACAAATTATACCCACTCTGTTTGAAAGCGACATTATAAACAAGATGACCACTCTGTGGACCAATTTTGCCAAATACGGGTAAGGATAATCTTTTCAATGTCTTTGATATCTAATCCATTTTTTTCCTTTGTCTCTAATTGATATTATCTCGAAGACCTTGTATCGCCATTACAAAAATAATAAGTAATAATAAATTTTGACGGATTGTTTTTAGTAACAATAGCATATTTATTATTAGTTCATCATAAATATCAATTATTTTTTTTACATTTGTGACGACGCCCCAAAACTGTGACCATACCAAGATACCAACCATGTACAGTTTAGAATGATTCTATCGTATATTTACTGACAGAAATATTGAAAATAAATATGTTTCAGAGATCCAACACCGTCATCGAGTGAACTGCTCCCAATCAGATGGCCTCCGGCTGCAAAAGAGGAAGAGCATCGCAAGACTTTTCTCATTGACCAAAACATAAACATCATTCCGCAACCAAAGAAACAGTCACTAGCACTGTGGAGAACCGTTTACTCCAAATATCGGAGAAAGATCACATCTTAATGACTCTCGGTCAGTTGCACAAACACCATTAAGGTTAAATGTCGTAATTTGTATCGGTAATGTAGCTTTAAACTAATGAAAATTTTAATGGGCATATGTGCGACTGGCTGTATGCCTACGAAAACCTTAGATCTTAAAAACACTCAATTTGGAATAATTTATTTTTCTTATTTACTTAATTTAATTTTTTCAATAAATTTAATTTACACCCAAGTTGCATTACATTTTTTTAACCTTTTTTTGAACACAACGGAAACGTGTTTTTTCTAAACATCAACGAATGCGCTTTGTTTTGCACTCTAGCTGACCAAAAGATCTATGAGAATTTTCAAAGCAGTTAATGTTTCAACAGTATGTGTTTTTGGTATTTAATTCACGGCCTCATAATCTTTTGCTATCCTTGCGATTGTTCTAAACGTTGACCTACCAGATACTTTATCGAATCTGGTGATTTTTTGCTTCACTACTAGTGATCATATTCAGGGTTAAGGCAATTCTCCTACACAAGTGAAATAAATGTATGTAAAATATTTCATATTTTTTTATTTAGTATTTTCTACAGAAAAAAGATGTACCAATTACGAACGACCTAAGAAAGTATTAATACATATACTTTTTTAGAAACACAAGTAGTTATGGACCAACAAATCAAGTCATTGTTTTGCCAAATACCTTGCTTCTGTATTGCTAAATTGCTAATAACGGTATTGTTAATAAAAAAGCTGATAATGTTGAATTCATGCTTAACCAAAACCGGTCATCAAACAATATTGGATTTTTTCAATTTTTTTATTGCATTATGTATAATGTGTTATAGAGAAGGAAGGTACCATAGTATACCCCGTCATAGTCATAGATATAGGCAAAGCAGTTAGGAGAGAAGAGGACACTTATTTTTGAATAAATAAGTATAATTTACGTACATACGTAATAATCTTATCCATATTTCGAAATATAGGTACATTTTTTATACATTATTATTGTTTGTTTTTCTTTTTATCTAATACTATAACGTAATTATTGCTTATTTTATTCAATTAAATTTATTGGTTAGATATAATATTCATTCATTGTAATAATGTTTTGTCACTAACAAATTCTTTACATCCATTATGAAGCTTTTTTCTTGGATTATACTTTTGATTGTATGTATTACGATTTTACATAGAATCTTGTAATTTATAATTGTCCATTTATTTCTCATTGCAGTTCCTTTAGATTCCTTGAGATTATATCTACATTAACCATCACGACAACTTGACAAAGTATAACATTAGTAACAGTAACCTTCATAAAATGTTTGTTTGTTTCAGTCCCCTGACCCTGAAGTGGCGTGGAAAGGAGTTTTTGAAGCTGTTGATGATAATATACGGTGTATACAAAGCGTAAGAGTTGGCTCCAGTATCACAATGGGAAGAGAAGAATGTTTACGTCTTAACATCTATACTCCAATAGATATATCACCAAATAAATATTATCCTGTCATGGTTTACTTCCACGGTGGGGGGTTTATGTCCGGGTCGAATTCTCAAGCTTTATACGGCCCTACTTATTTAACTGACAAAGATGTGATTCTAGTTACCGTAAACTACAGACTGAATATCCAAGGTTTCCTCTGTTTGGGAATCAAAGAAGCTCCAGGAAACGCAGGACTTAAAGATCAAGTTTCAGCTTTGAAATGGGTCCAAAGGAACATTAAAGCATTTGGTGGTGATGTGGATAATGTCACTATTTTTGGTGAGAGCGCTGGTGCCGTTTCAGTGTCATATCACGTGATATCTCCTATGTCAAGAGGTTTGTTCCATAAGGCTATAATGCAGAGTGGATCGCCTCTCGCAAGTTGGGCTTTACAACACGACCCAGTTTACGTTGCCAGTCAGAAAGCGAAAATATTAGGATTAAAATCGACAGATCCACGCGAACTTTACGATTTCTTATACCGGCAATCTGATGCCGATCTCATAACAAAAATAGTACCTAGAGACGAAGGGAACACAATAATATCACAATTAATATTTTTACCATGTGTAGAGGAAAAGTTTGATGGGGTTGAACCATTTTTGACAGCAACCCCTTTTTCTTTATTATCCAAAGGCAATTTCACTAAGGTGCCTATGATTATTGGCTTGAACTCCGAAGAGGGACTATTCTTTGTAAATATGGAAGACAATCATTTCATATCACGTATTGATTTTAACATATCACTACCGAAGAACTTAGACTTACCAACAAATGATGAGCGAATAAAAGTGGCTAGAGAAATTGAGAGTATGTATATGGAGGGAAAGAAAGTATCATCAGAGACTTTTTATAATTATTCAAAATTTCTCGGAGAAACATTTATAGAGTATCCAATATATGAAGAGATTGATATTGTTGTTCAAAATAATGATAAACCTGTTTATAGTTACTTATTTAACTATGACGGCTGGAGGAATATCCCAAAGCGTATACACCAAAGAAAAGAATTTAAGAATTTACCAGGAGCGACACATGCTGATGATTTATTTTATATGTTTTCACAACAACTAATTCCTTCGTTATTCGAATATGATATGATCAACAAAGTGACAACAATGTGGACCAACTTTGCCAAATACGGGTAAGATATCTAACGAATAACTTATATTCTTTTATATTAGAAATTATTAATTAATTACCTGCACTTAGATATTGATATCGAATACTATAAGAAAACGTAAAAATATTAGAACCCGCCTCTTACGCACCAGTTTTCAACATAGAGTTCGAAAGACTTTAAAGAAAAGGGGTCGCTTAGAATATCTTCTAATTTTCAAAAGTCACCTGTTATTTTGAAATAAAATTAAATAAAAGCTAGAGTGCAAAAATCATAATGAGTGCCCACGTTGTTTCCTCTATCTCGTGAATGATGATTTTTTACTATCATAACAAAGCTATTTCCCAAAATTATTAACACTGTATAGCGAGAATAAAGTGTAGAAAGAGTCACGCCAAAAGTTCTAGCTGTATTTCGCTGACTATGCACATCTTCAAACAATATGAGATTTGATAACTTCAAAATAATAAAATGTATATACAGGGCAGAGACACCATAATTATAACAATTTATGGCGGAACTAAACAAACGCATAACAATTGCTATGAGTTTATTGGCCAAAACGATCATATTTCACATTATCAGTTGTTTATATAAATATCTTAAAATATTATTTACTTATTAAATAAAAATATTGTTAACAATTAAGTTTACATCTTACTAAATAAGGTACAAATGGGCTTGTTTTCAAAAATGAGATAGTGTTCACGGACCACTCTCTTAAATACAACTTTCTTGGGAGCTTTCTTTTTTACTATTATTATTATAGTTTGTATTTTAATGTTTCAGAGACCCGACGCCATCTATCAGTGAACTGCTACCAGTAAAATGGCCTCCGGTTGTAAAAGAAAAAGATGACCAAGGGATGCTATACATCGACCAAAAGTTGAGTGTAACTCCACTACCGAGGAGACAGTCTTTAGATATATGGAAAAACATTTTTTCTAAATATAGAAGAAAACATGGCACTTTGTAAATATTACGTACCTATGTTATTTATTTAAGATATAATTTTGGGTGAGTAGCGCTTACCCTGAGCGCCATAAAAATCGTTATATAAACCTACTTAGAGTAAAAAAAAAAAACAAGCTTCACAAACCTTTTCATACACATTATAGACTACAATGACACATGCTTCATAATCCCTAATTGAAATTAAAGAAAATATCGTGAACTGCAAAAATATAGTAATATAAAAATCCGGCCTCATGGAGCGTAGGAGGCTAAGGGAAATGGGTAGCAGAAGGGAGCCATACGAAGTTTCCGCCCTGGTTAATAAAAATCATAAATCCGGGCCTGTGATTGTAAGAAAGAAAAAAAATGTATTAACCTTTTCATTATAAAAAAAACACAGCATAAAAAATAGCGCTAGTTACATGGGCCCCAATCTTTAGTGACAATTGAATCACAAAAGCGTTGTTATTCTGACAGTCCCTGTCGTGGGCTGTGTACAATATTAAGAGATTATATTTTGTTATAAATGTATTTTGTTAATAAAAGGCGTTATTATTAATTAGTTTGGTACATTTTTTTTTTATTTCACCTTTTATCTTCATGCCATGCATGAAACAACTAACAATGCATAGCATTTTTAGAGCTTTGGTTCAGCAGTACTATAGTATAACGTCAAACGCAACTTCGAACGCAGCGCTGTTGCAGTATTAGAGGTTCAATCAAATTAAACCTACTTCGAAGGGTAATAGAGATTTTACTCGATTGGACATCTAATGCAATGATAGCGTTGTGTTCGATGCTATATTTTACAGAAATGCAGGATTCTTCCTACAGGATTGCCCGTACACTACAGGAAACGATTGTCATCAGTACATACAGGGTGATGGCTGAAAATCGGTGCTTCATCCGCATTAGATGATTTTAGTGCACCGAACCTAGACCCTTTTCTCAACTGCTGCACACAGGTACATTTCTGTTTCTTGTTCCTCTTTGTTTCTTTTGTGTGATGTAATTGTGTGTTGCTGAGGAAATAAACTTTTTATCTATCTATCTATCTACATATTTTTTCCCATGGTTTAGTTTGTTAATATTCTATACATATTAAAATGAATCCCTATTTCCCATGGTCACGCCATCACATGTGAACGGCTGGACCGATTTTGTTAATTCTTTTTTGTTGTAACCATATAAAATTATTTCTAATCTCACACAGTTCTATGGATGCGTGCTGCAAATATCGTCGAATAGGATGAAAAAAAAACTGAATTTTATTTAAAACTGATGCTTCGGTCGAAGTTAATTGATAAAAATTCGAATTCAATATTCATAAACAAGACAGGACGACGTCTGTCAGTTCAGCTAGTACTTATAACCTAATTACGAAGAAAAAATATTTAAATTAATAATTTTTACCTTAATATTTATTAATATTCTCGCGCTTAAGTATACAAACTGTAGTAGCTTTCAGATCACTCCTTGAAACTATAACACGATATTACTTGACAAGTCTTATAGTTCAAGTCAATGGGAAATCCTCCTTCAGATGAATCCCTTGAGAGTGTCGAAATATGCATTTTTGTGGCTATAATGGTCGTATCTTTTTCATGTTCATTAAATTTCAAATCTATATCTCCACGTATTCCCAAAATAGCGTTTACGAAATTGTTCATCTGTCTGTTTGAGATAGGGGGGACCATATAAAATCAGATAATCTTATTCGCGTAAGTATAGAACTATGATAAATGTAAATTGACGGTAAAATAACATTAATTAAAAGTTAAAATTAAAGGCAAAATATGTTGTTTCAAGTACTTTTGAATTGTCCAACACTTTTTCCCTAACACCCGTTCGGATCTTTATTTCACTTTTTATAGAAAACAAACTAATTAAGTTCTCTTATATGTATGGAGAAGCGACAGTCATTATGTCTATACCTTTCCTAATATTAAGATTATAAATTGATCTAACGGCTCTCTTCGGAAGGTCGAAAATATTTTCCCACAGCAAAATTCCGTACAACATTACACCAAGAAAGTAGCTGAAGTATATTAATCTGCCATAAGGCAAGCCAACGTAAGGAAGACATAATAAGGTCATACTGATTCCAGTTCCAGTAAGGAAAATACGAAATATGTACATATAAAATAACTGGAATAGAACTGCTAAATCATTGTTTTATCATCGTATTTGCCCTTGGAATTTGCACTTATGATTTAATCGTGTATAAAATGAATTTGCGAAGAATATTTTAAATGTAACCAAAGTTCAATTTGAAGCACGGTAAAGACCAAAGTTCGTAAAACTTAGGCGACAGGCCTTATACTAAGAAGAACGTTTAAGAAACACAGCAAGGTCTACTTTTTTCTTCTTGTTTGATTTGATTCATTAGACATGAAGAAGTCACTTTCATCATAATAAAAATATATTTTATTTAATATGCCAAGTCATATATCGGCATAAACACAACAACTGATGTAGTCGCACTGTGTTCACTTATTCGGTGTCAGTCTTTTTAGTAACGTTCACCCCATTTATTCAACTTTCAGCTCCTTAAGAGGTTAAAAGGAGCTAAAAGTCAATAAATGGAAAGCAAATAAAAGACCACAGAAAACATGGTATGAGATTTATAAACAATTTCATCCTTTCTCATCATATAACCCCACTAACGAAATCGATTCAATGTTTATTAATGCACGTATAGCTTGCACTCCGTAATAAAGATTAACCCTCACTGGCTCCGTCCGACGGCGGCGTCGTAAAAATCCGTGAAACGCGTCCCAAAAATCCGCAGCGCACCGTAAATCCGTCGGAAATGCCCATAATCCGCGCGGAGAGCAGTATTTACCGTAATCCACGTTATCGGCGGCCTGCACCGGCATATTTCGTAGGTCCCCCCCTCGTTATAGATGGATGCAAATCTCATAGCATACGTGATTAACGGTAGCTTTGCTGCACCACTTAGGTGAGGCTAATTTTCGTCTGTTAATGTGACGTAAAAATCGCGGCAGAGCTATTCAGTTAAAAAATATAGGTTCGAACCGCGCGAAACGCTGTTTTTCAACAGAAGATTGCCTACCGCAATTCCTACGAATGTTGTCCGCATGCTATAATTATGTGCTATCTGTTACAACAATCTCCGCTTTCTCGGTTAATGAAAATAACTCCCATCAAAGAAATCTTTCACACTCCTCATTCGTACCCCTTTTTTCCATAATCTGTTATTAGGGTTAAAAAAGTGAAAACATGACTTGAATAGTGAAGATTTTAATTTTTTTATTGTGCACACGCAGCATCATCATCAAATAAAGAAAAAAAAAGGATACACACTTTTCTCGATTCGTAATATTCTTAAATGTTTTCAGATGTAAAATACTTGTTAATATTTATATGTGTTTTAAGAAATTCGTCTCATATACGCAAAACTTTATCCTAGCCAATATTGGAACACCTTTCACTAAACCGGGTTTATTTCATCGGAAAAATTACACCAGGAATTATTGTCTATAGCATCACCAAAAATACAATATCCACTATCCCCTAATACAAATGGTAATATGTCGAGAACCAAGCCAAGTAATATACGAGCGGTTCTATCTCTAAGCCCTTTTAATTGGCCTTAAAATATTACGAGACCCTCCGGGATAGTGGTAAAGAAACGGTTTGGAAGTAACTGTGGATAATGGCTTATAATAGTGGACTCGCATATTGCCCTGTGAAAGTATCAGGACCATTGAACTAGTCACAGTCACATAAAGATACGTATCTTACCCATTTGCATCCAACAAGACTTCGACCGTTAAAACATACTCAATACTAGCTGTGCCCGCAACTTCGTCTGCGTGGGAAGTATTTCGGTAGAATTCTTTTATTCCTATGAATGGAGTCGAATCGAATAAGATCAATGGGCCATAACCCACTGTGCTTAATGCGGATCGGTGAGTGTTCACGTTGCTGATGCAGCCAGGACTAACGGCTTAACGTGCATTGTGTCAGTGCTGTGCACAGTGCTCAAGATAATAATGTTTTGGTCACCCATCCTGTCCTTACGAATGTAATTTTTCTATCTTTTTTCTCGTTTCTCGCGCTCTGGTTGTCGCCTGTGTCTGAGAATTTTATTCGTACCTTGAAACTATCCTTCTTTTATTTTTGATATTTTAAAATTATTATTATTTATCTAGTTGAATGCACAATCAGCTATTTATTGTTCTATATTCCATGTAATGCTAGGTTGCCTGAAAGAAATCGCTTGCTAGCGATGAGTTTGTCGTTTGTACTTAGTTATGTAAAATAAGTATTCAAGTATGTCCTTGTTTATTTTATTGCAATTTAAACCGAATGCGCTAACCTACTACGCCATCGGACCTCTTTTACCTAAAATATACTTATATTATAAAGGGGAAAGATTTGGTTTTTTGTTTGTTTGCATCGAATTTGCCCCAAAACTACTGGACCGATAGTTTCAGAGAGATTCTACCTACGGGAAGCTACATCACGGATGTCATAGGCTAAAATTTTGCGGCAAAGTTGCGGGAAAACAGCTAGTTCATTATACCTTGTGAAAACTTATCTGCGGTACGCCTGTGGAGTATGAAGGCAACACGGGTTGGCGATAATCGAAACTACTTTCCCGATCTCTATTGCACAAACTGCGAGCTCTTTCAGAAACCAAGCGCATTTCTCTATCAAAGGAAGTTTCATACTCATACCATACTGCATCTATGTTACGGTTAGCAGTTAGGCACGCTATGCGATCTTCAGAAGTTTCCTGAGATCAAACGCTTGTTGTATGAGTTCTCCCAGAGCTCAAGAGAATGTCCCTGACGGTAAACGCTTCAGATTCAACTTTATAGAGCATGAGCCTCGCGATGGGTAGTTAAATACGCTTCGCGTTATTCAGGTGTTTCCCTAGACCGAACGCATTCCATCCAATCTCTTTCTTTGTCAATAAAAGTCGGTCGGTACATGTCTGACGGAAGATATGTGGAGTTTTATTTATTAATGATATAAAATATATATTTTAAT